TAAAAATTCTTGACATAGTATGAATTTGTCTAATAAGGTTCTTGAATTTTCTTGACAAGTGTCTTGACAGTATGAACATTGTCTTAAAATTTCTCGACACTTCCTGTATCATCTGATAAGAGTCTGGATTAGTCTCGACCAATTCTTGACTGTCTTAAATTTGTCTCGATCTGTCTTGACATATTCTTGACATTCTTAATAATGTCTGAATATGTCTCGACATATTCTTGACATTCTAAATAATGTCTGAATATGTCTCGACACATTCTTGACAGTCTTAAATATGTCTTGACACTATCTCAACAGTATAAATTTCGCCTGAAATGTGAACAGACTTATTCTGCACTGTTTATGACATTCTATTGCTGTTATATACTCCTTTTTATTATGGCTAAACTAAACTTTGAAGAATCAAGGATTAATTTGGTATAGTAAGATACCCTTTTGGTGCAACTAAGTTGGAATACCCTGAATAATCCCCCATGTAGTTTAATTTTGATTTATTTTTATTAAACATTTAAGTAATTGTTTTCACTTGGAATATAAGTCGAAGGTATTGACAAACAGCATTTAGATTTTTGCCCTTCGCAAAACTGCCAGTCAAATTTGCTTTACTAAAATAGGTGTCTTGTATCTCTTTTGGACCCCACAATTCATCTTTTGGGTTTGTGTGGCTAAAAAAAGAGGGGGGGGGGGGGGCTTTCGTTTAGGTCAAAGAATTTGTTCCCATCTTGATTCAAAAACCTTATTCATTTTTCAGAACAACCCAAAAACATTTTTTATTCAAATTTGAGTGGTGAATTTTATAATTTTTTATCAAAAATGAATATTTGTGATAACTCCTTCCTGAAAAGAAAAAAATGTTTAGATCTATATTATGCATGTCTGTTTGAGAACCATTTCATAAGACCGATGATTTCGATAGCAATCATTGATGGGACCCATTATAAATACATTTTTTTTATTATTCCTGGAGTATATAATAATTTTCTTTTAATCTTTAGGAATTATTCAATTTGTTTTTATGTTAAAATAATTAACTTCATAATGTTGATGAAGAAAATCCATTTCAATTCAATTTTTTTCATCAAAATGATGATTTTCATTTTCATCTATCAACAAACTTTTTAAATTGTAGTGGCATGGTCGGTCAACTGATAAGTTGTATGGCTGATTACAGGTAAAGCAATAACTTATATTTGACAGTTGCGTGTACTCTGGGGTGTGGAATACCTTAATTTTATGGGGAACATCCTGTCCATGTGTAATACTTAATATATTCCAACAGATGACATTACACAAATTTTTCTTCTGTTAAATGAATGACTTGTATATCATCATAATTTGCTATTTATATAAACCACATTTTGGTATAATAATTATTTACCATATCAACATTGAATATTATGAATGTAGAATGAAATATGTCTACAGTATGATTGGTTTGAATCATTTAATTTATAAGATTTAGGAATCAAAATTTGTAATTATTTAAAAACCCACATTGAAATTGTTTTATATCAACACACCAACATTTGAATTATTTTATACTTTAGATTTCATAGCCATATTTGCATTTGTAAAAATATTTATATACCCAAATTTTCAATTATTTTACATGCCCAACTTTTATTTTTGTTGTAAAGAAGTGTAACTTGAAACAACAGTATATCATATAAAGAGAAATAAAGATTAAAGTTATATCATGAATATTGGTCATGATTTGTAAAACTCAGAACTGTCAAGTAAATTTAAGACACGATTCAAAATGTTCAGAATATGTCAAGCCATACTGAGAAATATGTCGAGAAATTTCAAGACAGTATTCAAATGTCAAGAATTTGTCAAGAAATTTTAAGACCATATTCAGAATGTCGAGAATATGTCGAGTAAATTTCATACAAATTTAATATAAATGAGAATTTGTCAAGAAAAATCAAGACACAAGTCATATTTTTGGAGAATGTCGAGTAAAAGTTCATGCAAATTAAGACAAAAACTGGTCTTTTCAGACTTTTAGACTTTTGTAGTGTTTAATGCGGGAAGGAACATATTTTATATTTGAATTGTTTTATTGAACGTTTTTCAATCTGGAAAATATGAGAAAATCAATGTTGAACCATGTTTTGTCTTCCGTTACAAATGTAAAATACTATCGATGAGTATAATTTATTTTGGTCCCCAGTCTCTTATTTGTAGTAAAATATTCAAATATCGATTTCATACGCAGAAATGTTTTCCAAAACTTATTAATCGTATACGTTATAAACTACATGATTAAAAGGCCAAAAGTATAAAATCCGATTTGAAACATCAAAACTTAGACGGCCTAAGTAGTAAGGTTTCTTTCGTATAAGATTTCTTTACCTGGCGAAGAGATGACCTTAGCTCTGAAATGATTAATTCATAAACTGGTAACTTACACTTTAATAAATCAGGAAAATAATTTTTATTTAAAATTAACTTGAATTTAGACGTAAAAATTATTATCTATTTGTTAATCAGCCTACACGATTGACATCTGCAACTAAATGGTGTTATCCATAGTTACTTTTGAATTACTGGAAATGCATGCTATCCGCGGCAACCCAACAACCTTTATTGCATGTCTGCTTTTTACTTTTGACGAATATACCACCTCAATGTCTAGTAAACAAGTTTCCATATTATATCTCTGCTTTTTTGTAACGATAATCCGATTTGGCCAAACAGTTTTGTATGTATCCTTTTTATTCATTCATAAAATATACGTATAACTGTCTCTAATCTTTATGCTTTTATGTCGATGACATTTGGAAAAAGCAGACGCTTTTATAGCCATAGAAAATATCTTCATCAAACCCGCCCACCCTCCCTTAATTTGGTAGAATGCAATTTCTGTGGAAGATACTGCTGTTGGGTTTTGTTTGTTTAGTTCAGAATTGTATTGTCTATATAGATTAAATCATCACTCCATGTTGAAAGCTGTACAAAAGTTCTAATGTCGAAACTGTCATTCAAGGAAATATAGATGAATCAAGGAGTGGACATATACAGAAACTGAATGGATAACTTGGAAGTGATTGAATAAGGAATTTTATAACATACAAACATGTATAATTAGTTGCAGTGTTGTAGTTATCGTTGGTAGCACTAACTTATGATATTCAGGGTTAGTCGCTTGATTTATGGCAGATTTCGCAGTGCTTAGATAACATATTTGCAGTTTACAGACTTATTTAAATCGTATGATAGCATTAGCCTCTGATTTCCAGGGTCAATAGCTTATCTTGAACTTTCCCTTTTCATATATGGTCTGCCACCTCGAACATATTCGGCGATCATCATATAACAGTTTCAAAGACACATATGCATTTTTATCAGTGAAATTTAGTTCATATCACAAATTGCATTTCGTATAATAGTACATATATCATATCTGTTAATAAATGCTGTGGTCATTTCCTGCCAACTCTAATCTTGTTATTTTTTAATGAGAATCTAAGACAAACAGCTCAAACAACGTCGTTTTAGTGTGCAAATCAGCCTAATGCATAAATTGCTAGATACAAGATTTAGACATTGACAATTATTTTGGAAACTTACTACTGAGTTAATCATGGACAATTATATGTCTGTTCTTTCATCCCTCCATATCTCTCCGTAAAAAACTCTACATTATCGCCCCTATTTGGCCTTGTGTATTACTGCAAAGACATGTATTGTCGAAATGTGCACCTGGTGCGGTAAATGTCGTATCTATAATGTGATTGAGTCTGTGTATACTTTGATTTACATCTATAAACTGATACTGGGGGTCGGCAGAGAACAAAACTTTCAGACAAAAACGATAATATCACCTTCACAATTGTACAATTTCCTTAGTAAAGTGTTAAAGTTGAAATCATCGTTTTACCAACGCCATGACGAGTTCGTTGATCGTAAGGAATATTCGTGTCATATATAACCACGGATATGTCCAGATTGTCATGAACACTGTCCCGTCCTCAATTCTCTAAATGTGTCAAAACCGGATGAGACTTACCGCATTGATACTAAAATCAACAACGTGACTGTTGCAACATGTAAAGCGCTATTAGCTTACCCTTCCATGCGCAAGACAATAGATAGAAAGGGAATGATTTTACTAAAATATTTTTTATCAAAAACTGTGCAAAATACTGGTCATGTAGATTAATCTATGAAAGCATACAAACAAGATAATGCAAGTAAAATATAACATGTATAATGAGTCGTGTGGGTGTTATCGTGTCATATTACAATGTATTATGGTCACTTTTTGATGCAAATGCTATATATTTCAGATCGTAGTGGAATGATTATATCTTTTATGCACCTATCAAACGATATTTCTACAATACTATGAATCATCGGAAAATATCGAGGCATTCAGATTAGCAGCTACAATTGACCAAATTACATGCGCATAAATATATTACCTAAAAATAAAAACAATGCGAGATTTATAATTGCGATTTCAGAAAATTCTGCATACATATATATGTAGTGATATTTCTTTTTATTGCGGTGCTCAAACAGTCGCATTGTTTGCAATAATAAAGACATGGCCATAATAATCCACATATCTAGATGATTCACCTTGAGTTACCCAACCTGTATAACAATTGGCTTTTCCTTAAAATGACCTGTTCATTCCGTTTGAAATGTATATTATTTTTAAACGATATGAAACTATTTGAACACAATCGGAAGTAGAGTTTTCATAATAGAATATGGTAAAACAATTAAAGCAGTTGTAATTTCTAAACAGACAACAGGTAATCACCGCTTAGTTTATATCTCAATCGGGAGTTTACGTACTATGTTGACAGTTTATTCTAACCCGATAACTACTCGAAATTCGTATAACGATGAATATATTATTTACCTCATTCATTAAATATGTTAAACTATTTTAAAACATACCGCCACTCTACCTTATCATAGATTACACGTGATCAATGCCATAACAACATGTTGTTTATCTTCGTGTTGGACTGATTGTCGAAAGGATATAGTGTGTATTCATTTGGCTTCTTCGATACATTAATACGGTAGGTAAGTTCTTCAACAGCATGTAACTCGGCCCACATAAAATGCTCTTGTATTGTTATCATTAAAATATTTGATGTTCTTCTGTTGAAACAAGACATTCAACATTTTTTTGCAAGGAGTTAATCGGCATTTATTGAACTATTTGGTTTAACAAGTATTCAAGTTATGAAAGTAGCATTCATAAAAAAAAAGAATCTTTAGAGGTAAAAACATATACATAGTGTGTGCATAACAGCGAGGTAAAGATTGAATTAGAGTTCGGGTGATCGTTTTTTGAGTTTGAAAACTTTATAGTTGAGTTAGATCTTTAGAGTTCAAATTCAAGTCAAATGTTGTTCAATACAATTCGGGTTCAGTTAACATTTGTGGATTGCTTAGAATATAGCTGAATTTCTATGAGCCTGCAGTTACATGCAAAAGTGATAATAAAAACCATTTTGCAGCATGAATTAAGTATTTCGTAGTTTACAACATACCTTGTTAAATGTTATAAAAAGAATTTATTTAATTAATGTCCTTATCCATAAATATGCCCATAATGCATGAAATGGATCCATACACTATTTTGACCTCATTTGGTTCCGTCGATTATTCTCCGTCATATATTTTTGCAATAATATTGTACTCTTTTAGAAACTGGCACAATTTACCAAGATAACAATGTATAATTCTAAGGGTACGTTTTTAAAACTCATGATCATGTCCAATGACACCTTTTTTCTCCGACTGTTGAAGACATCTTTACACTGAATCCGTCGAAGGCATACTGATTGCAATTTATATAATACAGACTAAAATTAATATGATGGTTATGATGGTTACAGAAACAGATGTTAACTTCACGGTTGTTTAAGAGAGACAAAAAAACTACAGACTGAGCAAAACGAACCCCACGAAAAACACACGGGTACTCCGGTTCCGGCAACAAATGTATACCGGATAAACATACAAATGATGCATTACAATAACCGTTGTAGTGTGCTCTTATTTGCAGATCATGAATCCATCGTTTGATAGACGATTAAAACGGAATTTATCAGGACACCATAAACTATTTTTTACATTTTTGATTAGTATCAAGGACAGTTATTTTAAATTTACGAAAACATCGTAATAAAAGCATTAAATAAACGAATGACTTGAAAGCTGGTGTGAGACATTTTTAAATGGCTTTGAAAATCAAAGTTATTGATTTTTTTCTTACAGTAAAATGTTATCCGTTTGATAAGTAAAAATATTAAATTGACTGGTTTATCATCGATGGATGTTGTCAAATCCTATCGCACATAAAATCCATCTAATCCGTTAAGTCAGCATTTGTTACCAATCAGTAATGGATAAATCATCAATCATTCACTGACCTTTCAACAATACGTCAAGTTCACGTATGTTTCGCTGTGCATTTGAGTACATGTACCCGAAACGTCTGAAATATGAATGCATCATCAAAATCGGTTGTAGCAAGCTAGAAAAACAAGTTGGTTTTTTTTTTATTCCTGTTATAGAGACAAAACTAGAGTAGAATGCATGTTTATGTCCACACCTGCTTTCGTGAGACTTTTCTGGCCTGAATTGAAAATTAAAACATATAAAAAATATTATGAAAATGAATCATAAAAGGAATATAATGTCAAAATGAGGCAGTAACAAGAATCCTGTTTTCAGATTTCGTTTTGCGGTTTTGTCTTTATTGGTATGTCGTTTTCTTTAATCAGGAGGAAATACACGTTTAAAGACGGTCTGGTAAGTGCTATATCTTACACAATTACTATAACCGAAATATTTTTTTTCTAGGTATAATTAGAATGACGTCATCAATGCCTGTGTGCGGAGTGTGTGATCTCCGAAAAATCACAAAACCACCCACGGCCTGGTGTCCTGAGTGTGAGGAAGGACTTTGTGCTGAATGTCTAGAACATCACAGTTTGTCGAAAGGAACTCGAAAACATAGCACCATACCAATTACCGAGTACCAGAAATTACCAACTGATATTCTGCAAATAACTGAAAACTGTGACAAACATAACGAAAGACATACAATTTATTGTAAAAAGCACGAATGTTTCTGCTGCAGTAGTTGTATCGTAGAAGATCACAATACATGCAGAGATTTGGCCAAGTCTACTGATATCGTTCAAAACATAAAAACGTCAAACGCCTTCTTTGAGATCGAATATGCATTAGGAGAACTAGCCGACAATATAAAAACAATTCGACAGACCCAGCAAAATAACCTGAAGAAGGTTTCAGAGAAAAAAGTCCATATTCTACAAGAAATCAAACAAACGCGGATTACAATCAATAACCATTTAGACAAAATACAAGATGACACAATAAAGAAAATACATGCTACTGAAAAAAATGAAAGAAAACAAATTGGTCAGTTGGTGGCTTCATTAGAGGAGAAAGAGAACGAAATATCTAAATGCAAGCAAAATATAGAAAAAGTCAAGCAACATTCCACAGATCTTCAAGCGTTTGTTTCTATGAAGCTGCTAGAAAAAGAAGTTTACAACAACGAACAATTCTTAGCATCAATAAAGAACAATTTAGAAGAAAGAACGTGGTCGTATCAAGTGAATAACGTCATAAAAGATATCACTTCTTTTGGGAAAATTATAATAGAAACAAAACCGTACGATGTTGTTCTGACACACAAGAAAAACAAACAAGCCCAAACGATGGTGCCGCGCGTATTGTCGAGGTCAATTGTAAACGTTAGTCTAAAACTGCACAAAACTATAAATACAATGGGGAAAGATATCACGGGTTGTTGCATGTTACTAGACGGTAGAATGGTGTTTGCAGATAAAGAAAACAACGCTGTCAGAGTATTAAATAATGACGGTTCAAATGATTTTCAAATGAAAATACCAACAAATATATTCGAAGTAGCCTACATTAGCAGAGATAACACACTGGCTGTAACATCAGGATTCTCATTCGCAAAATGCATAACACTGATTGACATACTAAACAAAACAATCAAGAAAACATTACCAGTTGAATCGCAATGTTACGGAATAGCAGTGCAAGGTATCAATTTAGTTTGTTCCGCATATGGAGAAGGAATACAATTGATCAATCCGTACAACAACACAACGAGTGATGTTTTCCGAATTGAAACACCAGGGAGCTGTTACTTAGCAACATTTGGGGACAAATTGTACCATACCGTAAGCACAATAAGCTCCGTAACATGCTACGATCTACAAGGTTCAATACACTGGATCTTTGAGAATGAAAGCATCCTAAGGAGTCCATATGGCATTTCTGTAGACAATGATGGTAACGTGTACGTAGTAGGGAAAGAGTCTAACAATGTAGTAGTTATATCACCTGATGGCCAACAGTATAAGGAAATACTTAATGCTAGAGATGGACTTTTAGACACACAATCGCTTCATTATGATAGAAGTACAAATCAGTTATTAGTTGCAAATAAAAAGGACAAAGCAATGCTTTTTTCTTCGAATTAATCCGTGGTCTATACTTGACAATTCAAATGCAACCAGGTTATCCGGTATTCATGTTATAATGAAGTTAATTATCGAAATGAAATATTTCCTCTCATTTTATAACTAAAAGATTGCAACTTATTGTCAAAAGTGCGGTTATATCAGTTTAACAATTTCATGATATTTTCAGGAACAAAAAGCTTTGTCAATCAAATAATGACTTTATATTGTTAGCCTTGTATGTAGCTTTATTGGTTTGATGATGTATGAAACCTGGAAATATATAGATTCCACTGTTCATGGATTTTTTGTATATATCATGTTTGTATAGTTTAGTTAATTGTATTAAACATTGTGGAGTTATTCTTGTAATAATCAGTATTATATTGAGCATATGGATTAAACTATGTAAAAGGAAAAAAAAACAAGAAAACAGCCCGCATGCAAGTGTGATATAATGAAGAGAAGGGCAACTCTCCTATGGAGTTTGAATGTTAGAAAATTCTGAAAAATAAATCACCACAAGTCGACTTGAAGGCAATGAATTCAAAAATAAGTGTGTTTCAGAACGTAGAATGGCATTTAATTGTTACTATTTGGTAAAATTACCTATGTACATATGAACAAAAATTAAATCAAAACAATCTATTCTTTATTGAGAGTCATGTTTAAACAATTCCAAGATCATTAAAAAACAAAAATGTTTTTACAAACAATACAAACTTGTTTGAGTTACTCCCCCTTGATCAGAAAAGTAAAGAATTGCCTTTATTGATTCTACTCTGGTGTTAAGTCTCTGTTTAACTGGATTATTTCAAGTTGGAGCACTTGTATTTATCATAAATGAGGTTGTGAATTGTATAGAAAAAAATATGTAAAAAAGTTATGAATTAGAATATCATCATATCAAATGCAAATAAAAGTTCATTACAACTACTTTTACTGTCATTGATAAATATATATATAACAATGTAATTTTAACACACTTTTTAGTATGTAAATATTAAAATGTTAAAAAATATTTACAATGCGATTGGTAACGTTGTTTTCAATTTTAGACTTATATATGTATATATATATATATACAAGTCTAAATTGAAAACAACGTTCAAACCTATGATTGCGTTGGATAAAAACCGCAATTTTTATACGTGTGCATGCAAAACAAATTTCTTGGTAGAGTGGTCTAAATACAGCACAAACAACATTTTCCAAAAGACCGAAAATAGTGAAAAAGTATATTTTAACAAAGCGCATTTGACTAGCAGGTCGAACAACGGATGTTCTTAAACCCTGCTGACTGCCATGGCGATTGCCAAATAAACGGATCACCAGATGTAAAAATGGATCTTAATTTATTAATTAAATACCAAACAGAAAACAATAAACTTGCGGAAAAGATGGTATACCGCAAACATGAGGTGCAAAAATTTGTACACCATATCCGGATTTCGACAATTAATGTCTCTTCAGTGATGTTAGGAATTGAAACGGTATTTGGAAGGCCATGTAATTTACCTCAATTTGGGATTGACTCTTGAATTTTGAAGAGTCAAAGTAGGATGAACGGATCATATAAACCCGAAGGCAAATATAATACAAGCCCAAACGAAAAAATATCAACAAGTCTAAATTGAAAACAACGTTCAAACCTATGATTGCGTTGGATAAAAACCGCAATTTTTATACGTGTGCATGCAAAACAAATTTCTTGGTAGAGTGGTCTAAATACAGCACAAACAACATTTTCCAAAAGACCGAAAATAGTGAAAAAGTATATTTTAACAAAGCGCATTTGACTAGCAGGTCGAACAACGGATGTTCTTAAACCTGCTGACTCCCATGGCGATTGCCAAATAAACGGATCACCAGATGTAAAAATGGATCTTAATTTATTAATTAAATACCAAACAGAAAACAATAAACTTGCGGAAAAAAAAGTATACCGCAAACATGAGGTGCAAAAATCTGTACACCATATCCGGATTTCGACAATTATATATATATATATATATATATATATATATATATATGATTTGTCTCAAATTTAGCCCAACAATGTTAGATCATCAAATTTGAGTTAGTAAATTTTTGTTCATCTCTCATCGGGATTCAAACCCTTGCGTCTGTGACATCATGGCAACATGGCCTGCACCGTTTCCAGCACCCTATACCCCCTAGGCTACACAAAAATATAGCTTTCGATGTAATGCCTTTCCTCGTCGGATTTATCTAGGGAAGTAACACAGTACATGATGTATAGTGGCAAGTAGATGGTGTACTTTTCAAATCAGCTATTTTGTCTATCGTAAAGGATGATAATGTTAATTACCATGCCACCACATAAAGTTTTAATTTTATTATACACGTCTAAACATGTGACAACATTATGACTGACATTCTCCATCGGATAACACGTTGCTTTACAGGGCTAACACCATATATATATAATTCGTCGTAAATTTAGTCCAACAATGTTAGATCATCGTAACGCAAATTTTTGTTCATCCCTCAGCATGATTCGAACCCTTGTGTCTGTGACATCGTGGCAACACCGCCTGCACGATGTCCAGTGCCTTAGACCACTCGACCACATAGGCTACATAAAAATATAGCTTTCGGTGGTCGATGTAATGCCTTTCCTCGTCTGGTTTATTTAGGGTTGTAACACAGTACATGATGTATAGTGGCAAGTAAATGGTGTACTTTTCAGAACAGCTATTTTGTCTGTCGTAAAGGATGATAATGTTAATAATATATATATATATATATATATATAAAAAGTCTAAATTGAAAACAACGTTCAAACCTATGATTGCGTTGGATAAAAACCGCAATTTTTATACGTGTACATGCAAAACAAATTCCTTGGTAGAGGGGTCTAAATACAGCACAAACAACAATTTCCAAAAGACCAAAAAAAAAGTGAAAAAGTCTATTTTAACAAAACGCATTTGACTAACAGGTCTAACAACTGATGTTCTTAAACCCTGCTGACTGCCATTGGCGATTGCCAAATAAATTGATCACCAGATCTAACAAAATGGATCTTAATATTAATTAAATACCAAACAGAAAACAATAAACTTGTGGAAAAGATGTTATTCCACAAACATGAGGTGCAAAAATTTGTACACCATATCCGGATTTCGACAATAAATGTCTCTTCAGTGATGTGAGGGATCGAAACGGTATTTGGAAGGCCATATGATTTACCTCAATTTAGGATAGACTCTTGAATTTTAAAGAGTCGAAATAGGATGAACGGATCATATAAACCCGAAGGAAAATATAATACAAGCCCAAACGAAACAATATAAAAAGTCTAAATTGAAAACAACGTACAAACCTATGATTGCGTTGGATAAAAACCGCAATTTTTATACGTGTGCATGCAAAACAAATTTCTTGGTAGAGGGGTCTAAATACAGCACAAACAACAATTTCCAAAAGACCAAAAAAAGGTGAAAAAGTCTATTTTAACAAAACGCATTTGACTAACAGGTCGAACAACTGATGTTCTTAAACCCTGCTGACTGCCATTGGCGATTGCCAAATAAATTGATCACCAGATCTAACAAAATGGATCTTAATATTAATTAAATACCAAACAGAAAAACAATAAACTTGTGGAAAAGATGGTATACCACAAACATGAGGTGCAAAAATTTGTACACCATATCCGGATTTCGACAATAAATGTCTCTTCAGTGATGTTAGGGATCGAAACGGTATTTGGAAGGCCATATGATTTACCTCAATTTAGGATAGACTCTTGAATTTTAAAGAGTCGAAATAGGATGAACGGATCATTTAAATCCGAAGGAAAATATAATACAAGCCCAAACGAAAAAATATAAAAAGTCTAAATTGAAAACAACGTTCAAACCTATGATTGCGTTAGATAAAAACCGCAATTTTTATACGTGTGCATGCAAAACAAATTTCTTGGTAGAGGGGTCTAAATACAGCACAAACAACAATTTCCAAAAGACCAACAAAAAAGTGAAAAAGTCTATTTTAACAAAACGCATTTGACTAACAGGTCGAACAACTGATGTTCTTAAACCCTGCTGACTGCCATTGGCGATTGCCAAATAAATTGATCACCAGATCTAACAAAATGGATCTTAATATTAATTAAATACCAAACAGAAAACAATAAACTTGTGGAAAAGATGGTATACCACAAACATGAGGTGCAAAAATTTGTACACCATATCCGGATTTCGACAATAAATGTCTCTTCAGTGATGTTAGGGATCGAAACGGTATTTGGAAGGCCATATGATTTACCTCAATTTAGGATAGACTCTTGAATTTTAAAGAGTCGAAATAGGATGAACGGATCATATAAACCCGAAGGAAAATATAATACAAGCCCAAACGAAAAAATATAAAAAGTCTAAATTGAAAACAACGTTCAAACCTATGATTGCGTTGGATAAAAACCGCAATTTTTATACGTGTGCATGCAAAACAAATTTCTTGGTAGAGGGGTCTAAATACAGCACAAACAACAATTTCCAAATGACCAGAAAAAAAGTGAAAAAGTCTATTTCAACAAAACGCATTTGACTAACAGGTCGAACAACTGATGTTCTGAAACCCTGCTGACTGCCATTGGCGATTGCCAAATAAATTGATCACCAGATCTAACAAAATGGATCTTAATATTAATTAAATACCAAACAGAAAACAATAAACTTGTGGAAAAAATGGTATACCACAAACATGAGGTGCAAAAATTTGTACACCATATCCGGATTTCGACAATAAATGTCTCTTCAGTGATGTTAGGGATCGAAACGGTATTTGGAAGGCCATATGATTTACCTCAATTTAGGATAGACTCTTGAATTTTAAAGAGTCGAATTAGGATGAACGGATCATATAAACCCGAAGAAAAATATAATACAAGCCCAAACGAAAAAATATAAAAAGTCTAAATTGAAAACAACGTTCAAACCTATGATTGCGTTGGATAAAAACCGCAATTTTTATACGTGTGCATGCAAAACAAATTTCTTGGTAGAGGGGTCTAAATACAGCACAAACAACAATTTCCAAAAGACCAACAAAAAAGTGAAAAAGTCTATTTTAACAAAACGCATTTGACTAACAGGTCGAACAACTGATGTTCTTAAACCCTGCTGACTGCCATTGGCGATTGCCAAATAAATTGATCACCAGATCTAACAAAATGGATCTTAATATTAATTAAATACCAAACAGAAAACAATAAACTTGTGGAAAAGATGGTATACCACAAACATGAGGTGCAAAAATTTGTACACCATATCCGGATTTCGACAATAAATGTCTCTTCAGTGATGTTAGGGATCGAAACGGTATTTTGAAGGCCATATGATTTACCTCAATTTAGGATAGACTCTTGAATTTTAAAGAGTCGAAATAGGATGAACGGATCATATAAACCCGAAGGAAAATATAATACAAGCCCAAACGAAAATATATAAAACGTCTAAATTGAAAACAACGTTCAAACCTATGATTGCGTTGGATAAAAACCGCAATTTTTATACGTGTGCATGCAAAACAAATTTCTTGGTAGAGGGGTCTAAATACAGCACAAACAACAATTTCCAAAAGACCAAAAAAAAAGTGAAAAAGTCTATTTTAATAAAACGCATTTGACTAACAGGTCGAACAACTGATGTTCTTAAACCCTGCTGACTGCCATTGGCGATTGCCAAATAAATTGATCACCAGATCTAACAAAATGGATCTTAATATTAATTAAATACCAAACAGAAAACAATAAACTTATGGAAAAAATGGTATACCACAAACATGAGGTGCAAAAATTTGTACACCATATCCGGATTTCGACAATAAATGTCTCTTCAGTGATGTTAGGGATCTAAACGGTATTTGGAAGGCCATATGATTTACCTCAATTTAGGATAGACTCTTGAATTTTAAAGAGTCGAATTAGGATGAACGGATCATATAAACCCGAAGAAAAATATAATACAAGCCCAAACGAAAAAATATAAAAAGTCTAAATTGAA